AATTACAAACTACTTAAAATTAACAATTTTTTTTTTCTGTGTGCTACAACACTTACTGTTGTATTTCGTAACTTTAACCCACTTCGCTGTATTCCCCAGTGATGGCATCTTTTTTCGGATACTTCGCACACTCGTTAAATATATTTAACGAGTGTACCTATAGGTATATATAGGTATAAGGAAGTCAGTTGAACTTCTGATGCGTATTGTCAGTGGGAAACGTTTTGAGTGACTGCCTGAAATCACGTGTACTTTTTCAACGATATAATTTTCTAAACATTAAGAAAATAATCTATAACCTTTGAAATTAACAAAATTGCATATTATCTTTACAAAACTCTGTTAAAATATTTACAAACTAAGCTTTTCTACAAAAAATTATGTTAAAATTTTACAAAATAAAATTAACAAACCACAAACTCATGTTAACAAATCTGATTTTTATAATAGTGTAATTGTATCTATAAAATTAAAATCACACAAACCGATAAAATTGCTTCAAACCCTGGCAATAAAGTTAAAATTATTTTTTGTTACCCGACTGAAACCTTCTTGAAATACATTTATTCGCAAAGAAATTCTTATATCAGAATTTTTGCATGTACGACACGTCGTCGCAGATGTTTAAGAACTTCATCCCCCTAAAACATGTCAACCCCACTGAGATCATATCAAATGACAGTTACTTTATTGGATTTATTTTGCAGGTATCTGAAGAATGATTTCGGAGAATTTGATATTTTTCAAGGGACAAATGACAATATCGACGTCATTTTTATACGTTTATATAAATGTTTTACTTAATAAAATTTCCATGGAAATATTTATTTATTTAAACTTGTTTAAAGTTAATATGTGTTTTACTAAAAATCCGTTTTAATAAAGGTCCCTAATATTAAAAATCAGCTGTTTGTTAATAGAGCCAACGTATCGAAGGAAAATTGTAAAGCCAGAGTCAGAGTTGCCAACTGAACTAAAAAAACAAACAACGAACGACACAATGTTTGCGCAAGCTAAGTAAACACTTGTCAGCGAAAGCGGAGGGCTTGAAAACGAATAAAAAATATCGGCACGTATTTGTTTTTTAAGGATTGCAGTACAGTGGAGGCCATCATGGATATAAAACCCTATCGACATTTGTTTGCCAATCCAGGCGCTCAAGCTTTTTTAACGTAACAATTATACTTAACTACGCACTTATATCTCTATATCGATTTTTTTTATGTTTGGGGCTTACCATAAATTATTATAACTTTTATAATAGCTATTTATGCACCAAGGGTATTATTAACATGATTACGCCCGGAGAGAGGAGCCCGAGGGTTTGATGTCGCTCGATGGGCGTAATCATTTAGTAACTAACTGATAATTTTGACACCATTACACAGTAAAAAATAATAATTTCAACCAAAATTTAATATTAACCAGATTTATTCAGATGTTTATTCAGGTCTCCATAACTGTTAAGTTTACAACCAACTGTAATTTTTTAACTAATTGAATTAGTAGTTTGAAATTATAGATTTAATTTAAAATTCTATATCAATAATCTAACCAGAATTCTTGTAATTTTTAAATAGGACTTTATTTTTCAAACATTAACAAAAAAATGTAATACATATATGTACAACTGGCGTCCCCGAAATGTGAACAATTTTTGGTTGTCTTGAATTTTTTTTTAAAAATTCATTCGTTTATTCCTGGCTTCGGCCAGTGGTGTTACAAATAGAATAAGAACAATATACTAAATCGTTCTATTTTTTTAAATAATATTTTAACAAACAATATTACAAATAAATTAACTTTAACTTGGTTTTGTACAACAATATAAAAAAGTAGGTAAATAAAAAATAAAAATATCATATTGCTCAAGAAAATTATTCTTTAAGTGAAATAGCTGTAGATTTAAATTTCTTCCCGAGAATTTTCAACAGCATTCCGTAGTTCATTTCGGTTTGCTGGCCTAAAGTCCCGTATATATAATTTTTTAACCATAAAACCCCACACGATTTCAATGGGGTTTAAGTCAGGACTTCCAGCTGGCCATGGCAAAACAGTTATGTGGTTATTGTTTACCTATAGGTACTCTGTAACCACGCGAGCTGTGCGAACTGGTGCATTGCCCTGTAATATAATGTTTATTAGAATCATTTTTGTATACTGCACACTTTTCTAACATGTTGGAATTTATAATTTTCTGGAAACACATGGTATACCATGTGTTTATGCTATAGCATAACGTTGTCCAAAATCGTCGTATAGTGCTCAGCCGTTAATCTACCATCAATTTCCCAACATATTCACGCACCATGAAAACAATTTTACGGGGGACATTTTGAATATTTATAACCGTTTATTTTTGAATTTTAAAATAAAAAGTTTAGTTTTTTAATGTCATTACATTCCACCCTGTTGAATGTAATGTTATGTTGATAGTAATCAAAAAAATGTTATAATATTCTAAGGTTGGTAACATTTTGTTTATATATAACTGTCACTTTGAAAATATATAATATAAATGATAGATTCGTGTATTTCATTTATCGAGAGAAAATAAGTAAAAATATTAACAATAAAGAAAATTAAAACGAAACAGGTTATGGGCCCAGAGACAGCTTCAAAAGTGCAGTAAAAAAAAAAGAAAAATGGTTAAAAAGGAAACCAGATTTAAAAAGACTTATAATATTTGGATCCACAGTTTATGCTAAAATTGTGGGGCCACTGAAGAAACTTGAAAATAGAAGCAGAAAAGGGATATTTATTGGGTATTCCATTAATGGCTATCGTCTATGGGATCAAAATACCAAGGACATATTTGTTTCAAGAGATGTTGTGTGTGAAAAAGAGCCAGTAAAACCACAAAAAGAACTAAAACTAAAAATCTTTCAATTTGAGAATAAAAATGAAGAGACACAACAAGAAGACATAAATGAAGAACAAAATATAAACGAAGAAATATATTCAGAATATATGAATATATGAATGTAGATAATCAGAGCACAATAAAACTTATAAAATCTGGAAAAATGTCAAGAGCTTCCAAACATATAGACGTAAAGTATCACTACATATGTCAACAATTGAATGAAGGACTATTTACTTTAAAATGTTGTCCCTCTGAAGAGAATATTGCAGATGTTTTTACAAAACCTTTGTTACGTGTTAAATTTGAAAAATTTAAGGAAAGATTGATAAAAGAAATAGACTCATGTTTGTGAAATGTTTAGTTAATTACTTTACAGAATGTTTAAAACATTTTTAGATTAAGGGAGTGTGTTGAATATAATGTTATGTTGATAGTAATCAAAAAAATGTTATAATATTCTAAGGTTGGTAAACTTTGAAAATATATAATATAAATGATAGATTCGTGTATTTCATTTATCGAGAGAAAATAAGTAAAAATATTAACAATAAAGAAAATTAAAACGAAACACACCCTGCATTGAAAACTATGTTTACTTTATTTTTTCGTTTTTTTCTTTTACTGAGCGTCCAGCAGATTTTGAAATTTTTTATAATAGTTGACATTTGAGGTATACCTCTATATAGTAAATTTAAAAGCAAACGACGTACACGTCATCGATGACGTCATAATTTTGCGCACTGGTACCATCACTAAATGTATAAAACGAAGTCTGTAATTGAATATTTTAATGCATTTTAACCAAATTAAGTTGGCAGGAATTGCAATGTTGTCATGTTTAGATTAAAATTTTGATTAATAAAATGACGCATGGAAAAAGAAATTGACGTTTTAGAATTTCGAAGCTGTCAGTTGTGTTTTTGAATATTTCGTTTAATTTGTGTATAATTTCGTTTATTTTGTTTGTTGTTTTTATTACCGTTTTTGTATTTGTTATACCTATATCGTTTTTCCTATATTTAAAATGCCGAAGCATTTAAATAGTCGGAGTCAAGAGTTGGTATCATCCTTAATACGCTATTTTGAGGCAGAACGGGACCTTTGTTACCTTTAACAGCTGTGGTAACAGTGAGGTAAATAGGATTATTATTAATTATATATTAGAATATTTAACAGAATATATGTTGGATACATAGAATAAGAATATAAATACCAGAGACTGACTCTAGATGACAAAATGTCTGGGTTTTATAGCTGAAAATGTCTTTAAAAATGGCTGAAACATACTTTTGGCGGTGCACCATATACGAGTAGGTTATAAAAACTCTGACTTTTGACATTTTTGTATTATTCATGTAAACGCCATCTATCGCCCTATAGTTGCACTAACACTTTCACTTGATGCAATGATTTTAGCATCACATTGACAACCGTGCCCGATCAGCTGATTGATGACGTGTACGTCGTTTCCTTCTGAATTTACTATATATGTTAACATCAAATGTCAACTGAATTTAGTCTATTAATGGTAAACCGGTAAAGAAATAAGAATAAATTTACAAATTAATTGCTTAAATATTATTCATTGAAAAACAGCATTTAACAAACACTATGTGCAAATGGTGCCTATTAATAACATTCAACTCTCTCCAGTAGGTTTCTATTGATATCATTGATTTATTGACAGAATAGCTACTTTAATTCGTCCTACTTACTTACTTATTATCGTTAACACGTGCTTTTAGGTATCCCTATATAAAAAAATCACATGATGACAAATCAGGAGGCGGAGGGGGACATAATACGTCACCTAATCGCGAAATAAAGCTGTGAGGAATTAATATTCTAGAAATTAATTAATTTACAGTTTTTATGAATATGCAATCATATGCCAGATTTAATGTTAAATGCTATTTTTCACCGAATATTTGATTTTCATTCAAATTTATTATTAAATTATTACCTACTACTGTGTACAACCGTAACGTTCCAGAATTAAATAATGAGCCATATGAATTTAAGTAACCACTGGTCATAGAAAATAAATTTGGAATTGTCCTGTCGCAGGACGACATCAGGATTTATTATCCTATTATTGATTTTGTTACTTAACACGTTTTTCTTTTTATTTCAGACTGAAATTGCAAAGAGACTGAACGCCATAATTGCACAAATCCTGCCGTTCTTATCGCAGGAACATCAGCAGCAAGTTGCCACAGCGGTGGAAAGGGCTAAACAAGTAACAATGACAGAACTGAATGCTATAATTGGGGTGAGTACGCTTTTTTTTCCTCCAGTCTTATTTAGCTGTTTCGGAAATATAAAAAAATTAGCATTAAAGAATGATAATTATTTGATTACAGAAATTCGCTATAACACTCTGAAAAACTAATAAGTAATACTGTGTATTTCTTGATAATGTAATAAACAAAAAAATAAACATGACAATGTAGGAGATGTTCAAAATTCTCGCCCTGAACGACTTGGCAACATCCTAATCTTAAAAAGAAATTACTTCTAACGTTACTCAACATCTGAGGAGTGACCAATCTAATCGCCAGCTTAATCGTCTTCTTATGTGTTCCCATTTTTAAAAATAAGGGTAATAAATCGAATACAAATAATTATCGACCAGTATGTCTGCAAAGCCAATTCAGTATAATTATAGATACCGTGTTTTTTTCATGTTTAGAAAGTTTTTTAAATAAATTGAATATTTTGTCAAATTTTCCGAATGATTTAGAAAAAATAAATCCACTCATACAGCCATAGCGGATATGTTAGATTTTATATTAAAGGCACTTAATGAAAGACAACACGTCATAGGTTTGTTTTATGATTTAAGTCGCGCGTTTGACTCAATAGACAATAAATTGTTAATAAGAAAGCTAGAGACAGCCGGTATACGAAAAAATTCCAATAATTGGATAGGTTCTTATTTACACAATAGATCACAAATTGTTATGATAGATAACGAAAAGTCAACAAGTTCCGAAATATCTCTGGGTGTTCCTCAGGGTTCAATACTTGGACCGCTCTTGTTTTTGTTGTTTGTTAATGATTTGAATATATATAATACTGATAGGGAAAAATTAATTCTGTATGCAGACGACGTTTTAATTATAAAAAGTTGAAATGTAAACCAACTAGCTTTAGAGGCCTCCTCTTGTTCAATTGTCCTTAGTGAATGGTGCAAAGAGAATTGCTTTTGTATAAATAAGAGTAAAACGTTTTATATTTCTACCAAAAATTGTGATATTTCTACCAAAAATTGTGACATCGAAATATGATCTGTTTATTTCGATTAAGGGTAAGTCCTTTCAATCAGTGGATCAAATGAGATTTTTGGGATTACATTTGGATGGAAAGTTAACTTGGGAAGCTTGCTGAAAAACATGCGTAACTTAAAAATCGAATTTATTCTATTTGGCTGAATAATACTGTATATACATAAGACAAACAATATATAGAAAACTTAAACAGTTTTAAAGTACACAATAAGTCATATTGTAAAATATTAGTGCAAATGTTTACCGTAAACTTTAAAGAACATATAGGTTAGGTATATTTTAGATCAAATATACACAAGTTGAGTTGAATTGCAAACAAACATGGCTTTACTTAAAACGTGTTTTCTATTTACCATTCCTTTTTATTGTTAGTTTACTTTTCCTATAAATGCCATAGCAATTTGTTAGACAAATACGTATTTTTTTTACTTGTTTAAATATAACGTCGGGTTGTGAGGATTTGACCTGTTTAAATAAACAGCACTTCATTAAAGTCGTAGCCGTATGTTAATCTTAAAACAAACATTAGCGCATATCAAATATTTGTACACATAAATAAGGCTATTTTTATTTGTTTAGTAATACAATTTTTTTTATTTAAAATTCATATAGGTAGTTATGTTAGTCATTAAAAACAGCATTGGAAATAACTTTTCTTGTTTTAATATTATTTTTAATTTATAAATGAGTGGAGAAACTTTAAAAGCATTAAGGTTGTTCAATTTGAGTTTAGTTGCAGTTTAACTTTAATCGAGGCTTAGTTGCTTATACTAGTTATAACAATAACAAAAGTTTGATATGTTTAATTTTAACTAAAAGGTCTCTTAAATATGTTACTTGCCAAGATATATATTGATATACAGGGTGTTAGGGTATTAGATGCTTCATTTTAAGACAATAAACTTGACTTATTAACTAGTTCAGATACATTCGGATTTTACGTTAATAAAGTAGAAATAAACACCCACAAGTCAATTAAGTTAATTAGCGGTTTTACTTTGAAAGTGCACACGTAACAATTGTATTATAACTTAAAAGTGGCTTTATATTGCCTGTTTGTCCTGTTTGTTAGGCATTTGATAATTTTTGTTAGCCGATAATTGGTTAAAGGCTTTTGTATTACAACTGCAAACAATAATTGAATAATAAATGCATTATAAGTATAAACAAAGTTCATTTGCGTTACTTTATTTAGGTAACGATGAAAATATTGAATGCCATCGACAAAATAAAACAAATGGAAAAATATATGTGCACATATTACCCAATCAATTCATAGAATGTATTCGTTTTATATTTAGTTTAAATTAAAGTTATATTTAATAACACTGGTTTAGAAATAATAATAATAATAATAATAGTAGTTTATTTACCAAAAATTACAATAATGAAATACACAACAAAAATCAATAAAATTATGTAAATAAACGATATCTCCTTAATCATAGCTTGTCTGGAGTCAAAATAAAAAAATATTTAAAACTTATTGATAAAAATTAAGATTATAATAAAATACTAATAAAAATATAAATATTTACAAGTAATACAATGCAACGACATAATAAAATAATAAAATGTATAACGCTTAATTTTTCCCAATTATACTGTGTATTTCTTGTCTTGGTATACTAAATATATATTCTTTAATATATTTTTTAAAAGTATATTTTGAAGGTCTATTTAGTATCTCCCTTGGAATGTTGTTGGCAATTTTTACTGATAAAAATGAATATGAACGTTGTCCAATTACTTTGTTCATTTTGGGTGTCAAATAATTACAGTTTCTTGTTTGGTACTCATTATTTGGGGTTGTTAAGGATTTTTTATTTTCGAAATGAAAAAAATCTTTTTTTTTAATTTGAAAAAATAACAGAAAAAAACTGTTTTTTCTAACAGTGTTGCCGGGTAGAATCTTAGCGGTTACCAGAAAATTAAATTAAATTATCAGAGATAACCAGATTTTGGGAAAAACGTCATAGAAAAAGCCGATAAATCTTTAATAAATTACAACAAAATATGAGGGCCTCCTCTGCACAACGCAGTTTTTGTATAAAATCATTATTTTCGGAATGTAAAAATCTTTGCTACACACTTAATAAAAAAATTAGAGTAATTAAAGTGACAAATTACTGTATATTCTGAAACCAGTTTAAGTAAAATTTTGAAACGCTAATCTCTACACATGAATCCGACCTTCTAAAAAATTCTAACCCGAAAGTAAAAAAACGCGTTTTGTTACATCATTAAATATTTTTTTTACAGAGCTCGTTAAACCAAAAAGTACAACTTTAAAATCCTTTTTACATTTTTCTACGAAAATTTTAAATTTATAATCGAAACAATGAAAAATTGGAATTAAAATAAAAATAAAAAAAATTTAAAGAGAAGTAGGTATTGCTTTTGAACGGCGTGTGAAGGAAAAACACCTTTGGAAAATCTAATATAATAATAAAAATAATAATAATTTATTTATCATAGAAGTTAAGACAAGAATAAATACATAAGTAAACATTCAATTTTCTTAGTTTCTTTAATAAACTCTCTTGACCCATTAATGGTAATATTCATAAGAATTTTTTTTCTTATGAATATTAGTAATTGGTTAAGAAAGTTTCTTAAAGAAACTAAGAAAATTGAATGTTTACTTTAATGTTTAGCCCGGTTGCGCTAATTCTAGATTCCTTTAGGCTATATTAGTATATGTGATACAATTTGCCGTGTGCAGTCTTGTTTGCATAGTATGTACCGATTGCGGCAAAGGCCACGTCGTTAGACGGTGTGGATCACGTGATGTTCTTACATCTCGCCTCTGTTGGCTTACCAACCCAGTATATAAGCTCAGGAAGTCCTTTGTTTTGGGTGTGTTCCACTACACTAAGTTGCCCGACACTGATGAGACCCAATATACATAGGTCGAAACAGCCGTCTGTCGGTATTTGAAGTTGGTGGACCACTTAAAACAAAAACTTTTGCGAGGTCTTGGTTCAATTTTTTTCTTATAAATACAGAAGTATATTTTTATAGTTTGGGTTCTATAATAATTAAAAAAAAAAATTTGGAACTGATAATAATACCATTCTTAACAATGTTTTTTGATTCTGAGAACAGTTTTAGTCTTGACTTCCAAAACCAAATAAAATTCGAATTCATAAATCTTTCAAACACAAATAAAACATTTACTAGAATTATATTAAAACCGGTAAACTGAAAACATGTTACAGGGATTATTGCAAAATATATTTCGTTGATAAATGGCATGTGAAGTGGTCTACGCCTAAAAGGGGGAAGCAATAATTAGGCTGTATTCCATACACACCGATCCGATAGACCTATTGAATAACTCGTCACCTATGCGTATTGTAAAATTTGTTCGACGTTTTGAAATTATGATTGACAATGGTTAAATTGTAAATTCGGGTTTATAAAAAGTAACGTTTTGCATTTTAATTGACTTGTTGACAAATGTAACTCGACAAGTGGAGCAAGTTATGTATATATAACCTAAATAAATATTTTTTCTACGACCACTATGTAAAAGTCACTTTTCATGATGGCATCATTGCTTAGAAAATGAATCTTTTCATTGGCAAGGCAAAACACGAATGTAAAGTGACATCTCTGTGTCAAAAGTGACAGGTCTGTGTGAAAAGAACCGGAAAGCATCGTTTGACATTCAGCTGTCAAAAAATCTTTTAGGTTATTTTGTTTTGTATTTAAAAATAATAAAAAATAAAAGGGTCGCAGAAAAAACATTGTGTTATACTTGTGAGAAAAGCTTTCTTCAAGCTCGTGTTAATGCACACTCGGCCTAACGGCCTCGTGGGCAACTTAAAAACTCGCATGAAAAAGTCGCTTTTCAACACTTGTAAAACAAATAACTATTTCCTAATTACTTATGTTTCCAAGATACAGGGTGATAAAGTGTTACTTATCATATCAGTTTTTTAATATAACTTCTACTATGCTAGTCTTGGAAGGCTAT